AGATAGACAGAGCAAAATGTGTTTTTTTTTCCAAGTCCAAGATTTAGAAAGGGTTACTGTATCCATTATCATACATCAGGACTTCTGTTAGTCTGTCCAGCAGTGCATGTGTGTGTGTGTGTGTGTGTGTGTGTGTGTGTGTGTGTGTGTGGCATAGTATCCGCCAAGATTTTGTGTCCTATCTCAGTGGAGACGTTGATGGAACAAAAAGTCTGTACATATTTTCTGTGACAGGAAACTGTGTTTCCCTGATTTTTATTCTGAATACCTGTACTTGTAACACTAGGACATTCATGGTCTACATTTTCTCTTAATTGTCCGCATTTTTCGCCACATATTATTTGGTAGCTGCGATCAATTTTTTGAAAGTTTATACGGTAAACCGGGGAGACTAACTTAGGCACCCCGGGGGGACTAAGACTAAGGCATATCTGGGAAAATATGATGATTTTGAGATCATTCTTTTCGATTCAAAAGTGATTTTGAGTATTTGTTCATTGCATTGGCATTACACAAAAGAGTAATTAGTTTGGGGAGTAGATACATGTTTCCGGCTACGGTATTTGCCTTCCCTTAGTCACCCCAGTTTACGATTATACATTTTCTCTTAATTTGATAGTCTTTTTTTTCTGTGACGAATAATTTGATAATCTAAGATGTATTTTCTCTTGGGAGTCTGCATTTTCCGTGACCGCTAATTTTTCACATACTGGAACTCAAGTCCACAGTTTCAAGTAGGCTTATGACTTTGACCATAAAACAAAAGCCTAACACAAACACGTGCCAACAAAGGGCAAAAAGATGAGACACCTTACGTTTAGACTTAAAATAGATTCAAACATGTTGTTTTTATTTATGCTCCATAGGAAGAAACATTCAGACAATCAACGTTCACAAGAGCACGGACATTTTGTCTACCACCTTAGAAGGCAGAAACAATTACAACAATCAATATTGCTAAAAAAATGGCAGAAAACCACCAACAGGAATGTCATGTGGAGTGGAATAGAGGAATAGAATAGAATTTATAACAAAACCTTACATTAGAATAGAAGGTTTTAACACAACCGCACATAATAAAATAATATTAATAAACAGCATTTTTATAGCGCATGTCCCAACTCGAAAGCAAGCTCTATGGGATTTACACTATAGTACATGTATTACCCCAGCAGACCATAGAACACTCAAAAACATTCTCAGCTTCCCGGGAAGCATGCAGTGCAAGCAGCTAGTTAAGCGTTCAAAAACTAACAATTAACTGACAAGATC